TCATTTTACATTGGTTTTCAGGAGAACCAGACACCATGCAGACTTTCACGTGACAACCCAAATAGTACAGCTCAATCTCGCTTCATAGAAAAATCAAATACCGTATAAGCTTTTACGCTACAACCTGAATAGTACAGCTCAATCCTGTGGTGCAACCATACAGGTACTAAGCACCCTGGTGAACCATTCGCACCATTCATATACACATTCACGTCAGATGTATGATAATTATTCTGATCAATGATCGCGTGAATCAATTATGCACAGCACGACACAGGCCAAAGTTGATCTTTTCCGCTTACACGATAGTCAAACTCATTACTGTTAGCATGCCTCACAATGTCCTAATGACAATGTCCCTTGAAAACACTGAAAAGCAACCACCAGTATGAATGAAATCAATTAACCAGCAAACCAATTTTGTGCAAGAACAGTCAGTAAAACTTGTCAAACTAGTGCCGAACCATCCACAATACCAATGGCAAACCTCCAGTTTCATATGAGACCTTCATCTCTACATAGCCATACAGCTTATAATAATAATAATAATAATAATAATAATAATAATAATAATAATAATAATAATAATAATAATAATAATAATAATAATGGATTCCATTAGAAATCTCATTAATGTCATTATTAGTAAATGAAAGTAAAGAAGTATAGGTCACGGAAACCATTATCTTATTTTTCTTATATAGTTGTATAATTAGGATAGAAAGTATAAACTTTCTTCTTAAATGATTATCTTGATCAAGAGTTTATTTCGAGAGAGAGAAAAAAAATCACTATAATTTTAATGACAAATAAGAGGCTTTTAGAAAAGGGGAAAAAGAAACTAACTTCATGAAGTTCGAATGACAGTATATCTAGTAAGTAGTATTAACATCAGTTGGATATAAAAAAGAACACAACTAAAAACTAGAAGAGAATTGTTACGTCCAAATGCAACACTCTTCAGTATTGTATAGATGTGACTCAACTATGAATGGAATCAAGGACTCATAGATCTCTTGATGAGAGTTCAATCTTTAGACTATTGAGCATTTAATAGTTTACATTTCTAACTTCAGTTACAATTTAGGATATTGTGAAGCAATCATTTTTTATTAATCAGTCAGTCAGCTACAACGTAGGACCAGGCACATATGTGCATCGGTCCAGGTCGCCATACCTCATTAGCACAACAAGATGAACACCCGATTCATAGCAGTGGTTAGGTCAAAGGTGGTAATATATAGGAGAAAGATTGCAATAAGGATATAGTATAGGAAGAAAGAATTAGTTCGTAGAAAGAAAGATATAAAGTGATTTTAATCTCTCAGTTTAAGGGAAGACAGGGAGTGTATACACCGACGCCATTGTGATCGATTCTGAGTCATGTCACCAAGAGTCTCCAACCATTGGTTACGATAGTCACGCGGACCCCAACCAAGTAGTCTGCATCTAACAACATGGCTCAGACTAGAAGTTAGTGACTTCAAGCAGTGATGCCACGTTTTGGTTTGGCCGCCCCTAACTTTCTTCCAACCATCCCCTACACCGGTTAGCATTGCACGTCGTGGTAATCGGTGTTCAGGTATACGTAACACGTGGCCTAACCATCTCAGTCGATGAAGATTCATAACCTCATCAACTGATTTACCATCATGATATTTGCCTTATGCTCAAAGTGGTTGGTTTGTGGGGAGACACACACACACAGAGAGGGAGGGAGAGAGTTATTCACTTCTCTAATTACTTTTATTTTTATGAGTTGATTTCACCTGGAGAACTGAAAACCAAATAGCTAATAGACATCTATTTCATTTCAAGATTATTGAATCTAACACCTTAAGGTCATCAATCTATGATGAAGACAATTTCAAAAAAGTTCATTTCAAAAATCAATATTTACTGACAATTTTAATTGTTGTCATAAGGACCAGAATGATTCAAGAGATAAAATATAATGAAACTATAAACTATCAGTATTATTAATTTTTGTATTGGTTGCTTGAGTTTTCGCATTAATGTTTAGCACTGCAATTGATCAGTCTCTTATTAGCATATATGAAACCTGAGCGAATCGCCTTACATCATTAGTATTATAAGTAAAAATGAATGGTGATTAGCAGTGGAATCCAGGACGCCCGTTTCGTCCCAGCTGAGACTCGTTAGCTGGATACACCTGCATCCCAGAGTCGATGTTCACCTCAGGACTCTGGGATACAGGTACATCCAACCGATGAGTTCCAGCCAGGACGAAACGTGCATCTTGAATTCTACCGCTAGCCACCATCATCTCAACTTATCATTGTTATTATTATCATTAATATTATGTAGTAATTAAAATAACCCATTGTATCACTGAATTAAAATCAAGAGAATTCAGCGAACAAAATTTTCTCGTGCCGCTGAAATCATTTACTTAAGCTGTACATTCGTATTTATGGTTGTATGGTAAATATATGTCTGTACAATGATAGAGAAAATTGCATCATAAAGGGATCCGAGATTCTTATTATCAAATGACGTTACGTAATACTCAAAGGGTCAGAGAATAATAGAAGGATGAAAACAATTTACAGGTCAAAATTATGATAATCGTCCACTTGACAAATATGAAGGAAAACGAAATACACAAAGGTCATAATGATAAAAAGTGAATATTAATAACTGATTACAATTTGAAATCACAGAACTTTAATTAAAAAAAACAAGCCCAAAACATACTATTGAAGGGAATTAAGGTCAAGGAAGGATGAGAGGTTGAATGTATCGTTTATACACGCAGAGTTCGGCTTGAATTGGTAGATCACCAATGGCTGAACAGTACAAAAGTTTTTGATTCGACCTCCCTTAGATGCAGTTCCTTCATTGTGTAGATTATTTCGATAGAAGGCTCGTTCAGAGCGATGTGTCCAGAGTTGATTGGATGCACCTAGATTCAACTGGTAATTGTTTTAAAAGCCAGGCCGGATTGTGTTCTGAGATGCGTTTAAGAAAGTGATCGCTTTGTGCAGCCACTGTAACCTGCCCCACAGGAGCAAGTAAATTTATAGAAGCATATTGATGTGGCCCAAAGCGAAATTTTATCCTTAACGTATCCGTGGATGACAGGTCAGCTTGAGAAAACAATACGGAGCTTGGCTGAATAGAACATTGTATTCATGGATTTTGAGATCCGTTGATTCAAGATTTCAACATCCGTATAGAATTTAAAAGAGATACCGCCAATAATGAAGTTCTATGAAGTTTCCCTCATATTGTTAACTGAGTTCCTAGCTTTGCAACTTGTTGGAGTGTTTAACGATGACATAGGTTCTCAGAACGATTAATCTACAATATAACAGTACCATAAAGCCTGCATACCAACTAGTATAAGCGATGGTGTTAATGTTAACATATTCCTCGACTGTGTCGAGATTTTTGAAAATCCGATATCATCCAGACAATGAATCCATAGTCATAAAAAGCAAGATATTTAAATATACTTTCTTCTATGCTTTGATCAATACAGAAGAGCAACTGTATTCTATAACTAATAAACTTGGTGGCTCAATTCATGTATTTATTACACCGAGTAATACCAGTTATCATTAGTGTCTCCATTCATCAGTTTTATTCATTTTTGTCATATTATGTTAACTAGTGTGACATTAAGTTTATCGAGTGGCACTGAAACATAATCACATAATTTCGGGTAAACAAGAGTTACAGATAGATAGATATCTACTTACTTATTAGTAGTATAAACACTTTTCAATGAGAAAATATACATTAAACCTTGAAATTATCTATTTTTCTAAGATTCAATTAAACAGTTGATATAATTTTATAGTATATTCACCGATGAATTATCACATTGTAAAGCAATTTGGACCAAAATTGATTGAATAATCAGGAAAAAAACAATTCAGATTAATAACACTATAGTTAAACTAAGCAATTTTGAATAATTGTTTCTGGTTAGCGTCCGTTGTCCGGACACCATCAGCAACAACCAACTGTGGGAAAAAACAAACCAGACCCCAGTGGAGGAATAAATCAGGAAGAAGCGCTGGAAGTGGATAGGACACACATTGAGGAAAGCACCCAACTGCGTCACAAGACAAACCCTCACATGGAATCCGCAAGGCCAAAGGAAAAGAGGAAGATCAAGGAACACATTACGCCGGGAAATGGAGATAGGCATGAGAAAAATGAACAAGAATTGGAAGGAATTAGAAAAGAAGGCCTAGGACAGAGTGGGTTGGAGAATGTTAGTCGGCGGCCTATGCTCCATTAGGAGTAACAGGCGTAAGTAAGTAAGTAAGTAAACTAAGTAATTTGAAAATTATATTATTAAAATTTTACCAAGTTACATACACTCGTATACACACACACACACAGACGCACACATAGACACAAAGAACAGTTGTCGTAGGACAGTGCAAATATGTAAAAATGCAGTTCCATGAAACAGCTGAACAATTATTCATTGAAATAGTTGAAACTTTTCGAATATGAGTGACGGCTAGTTAAAATAATGTTGAATTTATATTATAACAGTAAGAAAAATATAAAGTATAGAGAAGTGAAGCATTAGAATAATTGATATATTAGAGCTAAGTAATTGGACAATTCATCACCGGTTATATTCAACCATGATGAAACTGGAACAGTTAATATCAGATCTATTGCATAATAGATGATCTATACTAATAAATGATTGACTCTGAATCCATAAACAATTAAATACTGTTTCACTAGCCTACAGATGTCATGTTCATCGCAACATTCAACGATCATATATTCGATTACCTAGTGGGATCATGAAAGTGTACAAACTACTGAAATGTCTCAATACCAGAAAGAAACAGCTATTCAATTACTTATGTTTTCTTTTCAAATAATTGTCTGATCAAAATCAATTCATGATAAAAGGTTATCTTCATTTAAAAAGAAAAAAGGAAGAAGGACGAGCCAACAACAACAGTGGCAATATCAATTATGAATAAGATAGAAAGACTTACTTTCATCATACGTTTCACTGAATATGCCAATGATAAAGTCACAGCAAGTGGTAAACCTTCGGGAACAGCAACAACTAATACTGTCACACCAGTAATAATATAATTAACTATTTGTTTCAAATGTTTTCCAGTTTGCCATGGTTCTTTATTTTGTGCAAATGTATGTACTGAAAATTTTATGATTAATATCAGGACAGTAGCTATTGCAACACATGTACCTAAAAAATGGGATGAAAAGAGAAAGACAGAAAAAAGTAGTCAAATAAAAGTATTAAACGCTTTTCAAGCGATCGGAATGACTGCGAGAACAGCTTATTAGAGGGACGACGAGTGTGGTGTATGCTACTTATGTTGACAAATATAAGTAGTGTGATGTGTGCTAATTATATTGACATAAGTAGTATATGATGTTAGTCAGGAACAGAAGGTCTAGAGGCAGAGAGACAAGAGGATCGTACAGTAAAGAATGGAAACAGAATGTAATTTGTATGAAAATGCAAGAACAATGAAGTCTGAGTCATTTTGAGACAATTGGTGGACATTTTGCAAATTATTCATTTACTTTATGATTGTTAGATTTCATTAACAAGTCCTGTAATTTTGTGTTAAGTACATTCGATTGTCTCCATTGGTGTTCTTGTTCACTACAGTAGTACTTAAGACTAGTCAGAAGTGGAATGTCTGTCAATAGAAGGTTGAGAAGATTGAACTGAAGAAAACAGAAAGGGAAACATAATGGAATCGACAATCGGCAGAAGCATGAAGGATGTAAAGGGCAACTGATAGAAGATGTGCACATATGTGCATCGGTCCAGGTTGCCATACCGCATCAGCACAACAAGATGAACACCGGATTCATAGCAGTGGTTAGGTCAAAGATGGTAATATATAAAAGAAAGATTGCATATAGAGATATAGTACAAAAAGAAAGAATTGGTTTATAGAAAGAAAGATATAAAGTGATTTTAATCTCTTAGTTTAAGGGAATACAGGGAGTGCCATTGTGATCGATTCTGAGCCATGTCACCAAGAGTCTCCAACCATTGGTTAGGAAAGTCACGCGGATAATAGGCTTAAGGAAGTATTATTACTTGTAGTAATAGTAGTAACAGTATTATTATTATTAATTTTCTCTTTATACATGCACAAAGATTGAGTTCATTAAAGGGCAAGCTAACAAAGAATGATTGATAGTATCAAATGACTGATTTGATTTAGTTAGTATTTTAAATGGAAGCATAAGAAAACAATAAAGAAAGAGAAAATAAGAGAGAAAGAAAGAGGAAAAAACGGGTGTGATAATGCTTTTACAACTGGAATTTTCTTTTCCCCACTTTACTTTAAAATCTGTCTTGTTCAATTTTTCCTCTATGTAAAGTGATTTATATTTTACTTTCACTACTATTCTTATATACATTGAACAAGTTATTCAATATGGTGTTATACTGTTTTCTTCAAATTAAATTATTGACAGAGTAGAGATTAGAAAATGATGCCGAAATCCTACTTCATAATAATATGAGTTTAATATCTTAGATCATTATTTTCAGTCAGTCAGTAACAACGTAGAACGTCGTACGTACGTACATCAGTTCGAGTTGCCACACCACATTAGCACAGAGATGCAGTTGTCGACTCAAATTCCGTAGTGGTAGAGGTAATAAGAGTATAAGCAGTAATCGGGAAGATTAGGGTTTGGAGATGTTATTTAAAGAGTATAATCCAGTGAAATAAATTTAAAAAGAGGAAAAAAGGGACATGAAGAATTCAGAAGATTAGAATTTGGGAGTGGATGCACCTGCGCCATTGCAAACGATTTTGAACCATGTCATTCAGAGTCTCTAACTATCGGTTGCTATCATCTCGCGGTCCCCAACCAGGTAGTCTACACCTACCAACATGACTCAGTTCACTTGTCAGTGACTTCATGGACTTGTGCCATGTTTTGGTTTGGCCGCCCCTAGCTTTCTTCCAACCTACTCCTATACCACTGAACATAGCACGTCGAGGCAGTCGGTGGTTGGGCATACGTAACACGTGTCCCAGCCATCTCAACTGATGAAGTTTCACTACTTCATCAATTGATTTGCCATCCTTACATAGTACCCGTTTCCTAACAACTGTGTTACTTACTCGATGGTCCCATGATATACGAGCAATGTTTCGAAGACACCTATGATCAAATACTAGTAGCCTACGGATATCCTCTACTCTTACCGGCCATGTTTCACTGCCATAAAGTAGGACGGAACGAACTGCTGCGCAGTAAACACGTCCTTTGGTTGATAGACGGATATCTCGCCTACGCCATAAATGACGCAAGTTAGCAAAAGCTAGTCGAGCCTTCTGTATCGGTGCTGAGATTTCGTCACACACCAGACCACAAGGGCTGATGAGACTTCCAAGATAAGTGAAGCGGTCGACACACATCATTATTTTTCAAGGTATATATACATATTAATCTATTATTGATATTAAGCATTGAACGCTGGTCAATCTTAGTTGATAAATGATCATTCATTATTATATAAATGGGTTTTAACTAACAGTAGAATCAAGAATATAAGTTACACTCCATTTATAACTGATCAGCTGCATTCAAGTGTTTATGTTCATTTTAGAAATAGGAAAAGATTCATATATGAAGATGTTTTAGAATAAACTGGCTCAGTTAGACGAGAAGCTACTATTTTGAAGATCTAATAAGAATTCAGAATTGAACTCTAGGCTGCTCATACTGGTTTATGTGTGATTGATCTGGTCAATAAGTCGATGTTTTCATTGGCGATCGTATCACGTGATAATTAGCAGGTCATAAGGAAATAATACAAATGATGATGCAGACATTGATTATAGTGCTATAAAAGCTCCCTCTGATTCACTTCAAATATTTGAACTGACAGTAATCAATGTTAATACCAACTTTGAGTTCAGACTCCCAATATATAAAGTAAATAACACATATATTTGATTTGCCCAAATAGAAAGAGGCTCTATCTTTGACACGAATTGTCCGATTTCAGGCAACCAGACAGGCAAAGGTATTAATATGTACGCTTCCGATTAAAATTGCTGGAGAAGTTAAGGGACTTAATTGATCAAGTATTCATTCACGTAAGTCAATCTCTGATGAGAATACACTATAACAACTATTAACCACATGCGTATCAAATTGTTATTTCACTCATCAGGTACAAATTCGTGTACCTCTCTTGGTTGATTGATAATTGGTAATTTGAATATATGACTTAGTGACTAGAAATCAAATGTTAGGACCCGAGTCATACCCAGTAGATTAAATATTGCTTGATTTGATGGAAAGAAAAGTCAATTTTCAATTGATTTACTCATTATAAGTTTTGTTCAACATTCAACATCCGTTTTGATTCGTCGTGAGGATCATTCAGTGTAGTAATTGATTTGTTTTTCCAGTATGATAGTTTCTTCTGTATAATATACGATATTCTTGTATTCAGTTGACATGAACTATGCTCAGTAAGTGATTTGTTATAACTGAGTATGTGATTTAATCCAAATTATTAATAAAAATGGGTGTACAATCAACCAGTGTATTTGAGACTAGATTCGATTCGTCGTCGTCATGGTGTTTGGGGCTAATGAATCTTCACTTATACCAGTCTTGTGTTCTTACTTTCGCGTCGTAGGAATTACCGAGGTCCCTCGTTCCGAGTATAAGTGATCAGCGCTTTTTTTTTCCAGCACAGCAATCAGCAACGACCAAATACAACATCAAACACCTTGCCCATCTTTACAATGTAAAATCTCTTATTTTCACTCACATACGTATGCTTAAACAATGTATCTAAGTAACTTTCATTCACTCTTACATAAGGGTTATTTTTTTATTATTACTATTTCAAAAACAATTCTCACGATTTCTCTTACTTGACTCTTCACTTCTATCACTCATCTTATACACAACAAAACTATCAATACAATGAATTGAAGACGTTTTACCAGACATAGAATCATCATCATTATCGTAGAGTAATATAGTCTGAAATATTTCAATACTTGTAACATTTTTTATTCATTTCCATTGTCATTATTTGATACAATTAAAATAGAATGAATAGAAGTATTGAAACGTTAGTGTGTAATCTTCTCTGTTTGTTTCCTTCTCTTTCTCTACTCTTTATCTTCTTACTTATCATCGGATGATACACATATTAAGAAATAATGAATGAACCCGCCATAACAAAATTACCGCCTACAATTATTTCAATATTCAATATATATATATATATATATATAGCCAATAGTCAGTCAATTAACTGATATCATTATTATTAGTTCCTATGTATGACTCTTGTACAAACGATTATGTAACATTTTTCAAAATATAAAATTGATAACGAATTTCTTTTTCTTTCTTTCTTTTCAAATGATTATGTCATTGGATGTAGTAACGAAATCGACATCTTTTATAAGTAAAGTTAAAATAGTATCTAGATAGATAAATTACATGGTAAATGATGGTAAGTTATAATTAAGTTATAAGCAAAGATGGATAGTGGTTAGCAGTGGAATCCAGTTTGATACGCGTTTCGTACTATTTGGGACTCATCAGCAGGATGTAACCGAATCTTAGAGTTGATGTTCACTCTAGGACTCCAACTTAGTACCGTTCGCTTCAAATGCCATCTCGCATTATTCACCTACCTACTGAGTCCTGATAGCCACTTGCTTGTGAAATGAGGTGAACTTTAATTCACTATGCGTATTGACTCGATATTGCCTTAATTAACAAGCATTATAAGCAAAGATGGTCAGTGGCTAGCAGTGGAATTGAGGACGTGCACAGTATGCACATATGCAAATAACACACTGATCAATTGTAGTCCTAAACATCAATGAGAAGATTCAAGTAAAACAATACCTAGTGAATTATAATTAGGTTAGTTTAGAGTTTGTCTTGTATTGTTTATTTGAATCTTCCTATTGATGTTTAGAACTGTAAGTGATCAGTCTCTTACTGATATATGTGCATCCTGTGAGGATGCAAGACATTCAACTGACGAATCCCTAATAGGAAGAAATGCACATCCTTGATTCCACTGATAACCATCCTTGTTTTATCTTGAAGCTAATCACTAATAAACAGATGATTGACAGTGATTTACAACTAAAAAGTACCTTCTATTATTGTGAACTAATGTCAAACAATAATGAAGATAATGCAAAAAAATAAACATCAATTTTATTCTGCTTTCAGAGTATACAGTTCGTGATGAAAACTACATTCAAATTGTTATTACTCAACAGGAATTGATTCCGATACTATACTCATACTTAATAGTCCAACAGTTCAACAGGTAACCACATATAGAAGAGGAAAAAACGTTTACTCACACTATAAAGAATAGTCAGTAACTGAAATCAAAAAAATGGGATGAATATTGAAGTAGAAGATAATCTCTTAAACATAATGAAACTGGACATGTATATCTCCAATTAGCCAAAGTCAAGAATTAAAATGATAAATCCTTGATGAATGTCAAATGCAGTAAATCTCTACAATTTAATTTGACGATCTTAAAATGTTGTCCTTACTTTGATATTGATAGGGATTTGATTTTAAATGTAGACTTTAAATAATTCGATAGATATACTGTGGTGTGTGCTACTTATATTGACATAAGTAGTATATGACATTAGTAAAGAACAAACTGTCTGGCAGCAGAGAGACAAGAGGACCGAACAGTAAAAAATGGAAACAGAATGTAATTTGTATGAAAATGCAAGAACAATGAAGTCTGAGTCATTTTGAGACAATTGATGGTCATTTACCAAATTGAGCATTTACTATATGGTTCTCAGATTTTATTGAGATGCTCTGTAATTTTGCGTTAAATACATTCGATTGTCCCCATTGGTGTTCTGTTCACTACAAAACTTATAATCAAATCTTGAATACTAAAAATACCATTTTAAGCTAAGAATACAAGTTAAGAATACAAGGTACTGATTAAATTAAGAATTAAACTATTCCGATGGAGAGAAAAAATCCACCATAACACAAGTTAGACATTAATACCGTTGGATATCGTTTCAGTGGTCTAGAGGTTAAGTATTCGCGCATGAGACCGAAGGTCTTGGGTTCGAGTCCTACATGAAGGATCGTGGATACACACTACTAAGGAGTCTCATACTAAGACGAAACATCCGTCCACTGCTTCCAGGTTTTCCAAGATGGATGGTGGATGGTAACTATTGTGCTCTGTTTATGGACTAATACTATAGATATATTTTTATTGTATAATTGTTAAATAACCAAACTATGCATATTCATGTTCCTCTTATCATAAGCTTTATTCTGACTTATAGACAGTGAAGTAATAATAGTAATGATAATACTGGGAGAAACAGTTCAGTTAACAAAAAATAATCAGAAAAAATTCTATCAATTAAAGAAGTCACGTTCACTTTTTACGAAGAAAGTTAGAGGAAGTTAGAGCAGGATGGCCACCGACTTCTATTCTAAGTCATATCTGATAACGTCTCTAGCCACTGTGTTGCACCACCTCTAGAATTCTAGCCACGGAGTCGTGAAGGACCAATAGAACCCAGTCATGTACAGCTTTCTTTTATACCACCACACTATCTCATACACTGACCATCTGTCCCTTCTTTCCAACTAGTCTTGACTGCTTCTATCTGCTCACTATCCACAATGAGTACAGAATCACGGTCCTAACAGTCTTGGAAAAGTAATTTGCACTTCGAAAGTTCAGAGTACACATCATACCTACGAACACTAATTGCCAACTCATTAAGTCAGGATTGCATGACTTACGTATCATCCCACCCACACTAAGACAATATCATCCGCATACTCAAGCTCGAAAAGTCTTTCTCCAGGCAACAAATCCACAACAACACCATATACATCCATCACAGTTGTTTCAAAAACGTCATTCATAGCAAAGTTGAAGAGGAATGGTGAGATTACGCAACTCTGTCTAACTCCACTACTTCAATGGAACAAACGAGACAGGTGGTTGTATGACCTCACTCTGCTTCATGTGTTAGTTAGTTAGTACAGAGGGCTATCAAGATGTTAATAAACTTCTCAGGCACACCCTTCTTCAATAGACAATCTGAGAGAACAGTCGTGTCCAACGAATTACAGGTGGCTCTAATGTCAAGAAACATTACGATTGTTGGCCTGTGATAAGTATGACAGTGTCCTAACATTTGGCGGAGGGTGATGATATGATCAATACATCCTCGACCAGAACCAAAACCAGTCAATCTTTCTCGGACTTTGAACAATCTACGATGTATGACGGAAGCCAATAGTTTGGACACAATTGGACGTAGGATGCTACAATCTCCCATAAATTATACTAATCACGGATTCATAACAGAATTTTTCTTTCATATAACTTGTACTAAAGTAAGAAGTATTGCTAAACATTTCACATACACACAAACACATGCTAAAAGCAAAGCTTGAAATCAGTTACATAAAGTTGCAGTTAATTTCATGATTTTCATGCTTACGACAGAGAATCTCAAGTATACCATCACACCAATTGGGCGCTGATGATCTTTTCCAGGATGATAATTCAAACTTTATAATTAAACCATCTAATCCAAAGAATACTAAACCACGAAAAAGCGTTCATCTAAATTGTTTTGAATCTACTTCATCATTTGAAATTCTTTAAAAATTAATTCAGAATGATAATAGTTGCTACTATTATAACATTGATAGTGAGCGGAAACAGCAAAAGTAAACGATAAAACTGTGGATGACAAGTAAGTGTCCGGCGTTTAAACCAGGTAGATAGGTACGGAGAATCCACTTAGGTGAGTTAGAAAACCCTAATTTCAAATCAACGGTGAACATATGCTCTAGAATCCTGAGTTAGAAAAAATGGTGTATGAATCTGTTTTCGGTCACTGGATAGCGTGGAACCTCATCTCCTAATGTTGTTCTACTACCTTGTGGATTTGACCTGCGTCAAAAGTTCGGAAAGCGGTCCCCTAACAAAACTATCTGCTCCGATTTGAGAACCCAAACAGTAACCCAGTCTACACACAACTCCAGTTATTTGTGTCAATCTTTGTATGTTTATATAAATTAAGTAATAATAAAATAAATAGTGACTAACCAACATAACCAATTTGTATGGCTAATTTAGTTAATTTTGCTTGTAACACAGATTGTTCTTTACGACGTGGTTTTTTCTTCGGTTTCGAAGTCTGTTCTGTATCAGATTCAGTTTTTGTTTTATTCTCCTTTGATTTCATTTGATAAGCATCGGAATTAGCAGATGGTACTTTGTTAGTGTTCTTTTTCCCTTTTTTACCATTCTTTTTAGTTTTGCCTAAATAAAAAAAGAAAGATAAATGATCATTTAATTTTACACTAGTGACTGTTCTTTACTATGACTTGAAAAAAAGGAGGTTATATCCAAGGTAACGTACTAATAAACAACTTAGCTTTCACAAATATGGTCATACATGAGACAAACAATAATAACTGAAGTAATCCTTTGTAAATTGAACGATTGGATTTCAACCGGATGATAATCGGAACTTGCAATGAAATTTCAAAATCTTGTGTTCGATCTCATTCTCTACTGGAATAATTGATTAAATACTGATAAAAGGTCTTAAACTTGGAATCCTGGAGGTAAACGGAAAAGAGGAAATACAAATAATACACTATCTCGGGAATTGGAACCAAACATCCAAAGGATAAATAGCGACAGGAAATGATTGCCCAAGACAGAGTTGGATGGAGAATGTTGGTGGGCGGCCTATGCTTCTCCATGAGGAGTAACAGGTGTAAGTAAATAAGAATAACAACAATAACAAATACTCAGACAAGGTACTATGTTAATGGTTAAAAAAAAGAACAAATGACTCACTTTTCTCTTTTTTGTTCTCTTGACCACCGCCACCATGTTCATCATGAGAACCAGAAGATAGCAAAGCAAATATTATACCAGCTTGTGAATTCGGTCCAACGGCAGTAACAACCATTTTACCGGAACCTTCCATAACATGAGTGCCTATAGGGAAGAAAAATAAATATGTTTATTTATGATTAAAAAATAAAGAAAAAAAGAAAAAAGGATCGAAGTCTATCAGTTTAAATGAAACTCAAATTGTGTAATGTTCTTTTTTGTTTGATCGTTTGATAAGTCAGTCAGTCAGTCAGTCAGTAACAACGCAGAACTTCATACGTACGTACATCAGTTCGAGTTGCCACACTTATGACATGATTGTGTGTAAAGAATGGCATAGAAACAAATGAGTACTTGAGATAATTACAATGTGTACTTAAAATATACATAATAGAAGTTTGTCTGTTATATCCTCTTATACAGAGTTATCATTTGGGAAACCAATAGGAGTCAAAATGATCTCAGTCTCAACTCAAGATTAATCTTACCAGTCAAAATGTTTTATTGGTTACAGTTGAAGGTTTTAAACTATAGACGAAATAAAACACAGGAACAGAATACTCTATATATCAATAATTGACTAATTGACTTAAATTTGACAATCATCGAAAACCATGTTAACTACTGGATACTAACTCCTCCATAAATCTTGGACATCTTGAATTCGATCTCCAGTGAGATTATGAATGCACACACTACCACAGCTAAACACTAAGAATACACAAAAGCAACATCATACATCATTTAACCATTTATATCTTAAACTATAGTTTTTTTTTAAATGAAAAATAAGTGGATATTTAATACGTGACGAATACATCACTGCTACCACGAATACGACTACTACGAACCGTAATAATGTCAAGTAGTCGGTCAATCGGTTTTATTATTTTCTTTATCCTTATTACAAACATACACGTACACACATATTAAATAGAAAAGAAACCTGTGAAAAAACAAGCAAATCATGGTAGAAATTGAGTGAGTGAGTGAGTGAGTGAGTGAGTGAGTGAGTGAGTGAGTGAGTGAGTGAGTGAGTGGTGGTGAGTGAGTGAGTGAGTGAGTGAGTGAGTGAGTGAGTGAGTGAGTGAGTGAGTGAGTGAGTGAGTAAGTGAAAGATAAATGAGCTCAACTGTGAAATAATCATGATGGAATTAAAAAGTTTCTATTACAAAAAATTCATTTCACATAACCAAATAACTAAATTCACATCGCTTTATCAATAACTTTAACCTCTTATCAATTATAGTTATTAATTTTATTTGTAAAACAGGTCATCAACACAAAAGGACTAATTCAAGTTGATTGAATTGAAGAGAGAGAGAAAACAGTGTTTATTTAACAAATTATTTTGTTTCACTGGTTGAAATCACGAGTCGATTGAAGCTAGACCACCATGGAAAACCTGGAAGCACTGGACGGCCGTTTCGTCCTAGTACGGGACTCCTCAACAGTGCGCATCCACAATCACGCACCCCATGAGATTCGAACCCAGGGTCTATCAGTCTCGCGCCAAGCACTTAACCAACTAGACCACTGAGCCGGCATGCAACGGTGTTAATGTTTAACTTCAACCAATTATTTTATATAACAAAATGATATAAACAGAGAAATCATGAAGTCATAACAATGAACGGAAGCTATTTTTTTGAAGATGTCGTTTCCATTTATTCAAAGTTTGTCAAGTACTTATATTTAGTTTTGTCCCTAGTTTATTCCATAAATTATAAGCTTTCATTTAATGTGTGATTTATTACCGTATCAGTTTCTATTCCAAAGCTAGTGTAATTTAAACGTAACCTTTGATACACTATTTTTCTAGTCTAATGCTTACTTTACACATCATTGTGTTTGTCTAATTGTTTGTACTAGGTGGTCGTCTTATTCATCTATTAATTCATATATCTTTTTACATTAATCTGAATTGGGAATCCGGAATAAATCAAGTAGTATTTCAGTTGGCTCATTTTCTTACTCGTTCTCTCGCCTGTCAACCAATCAGCTGATAGAATAGCTTCGTCTCTCCGACCAAAGTCGTCACAATTCGGACTCACACATTTCTAACCTCAAGGTTGACATCAGTTGACCTATCGTGTCAAGGCCTAAACCTAGATCGAGACAAGTTTTCACCTATATATTATTGTGTAGATGAATCAAAGACGTAACACAAAGATTTGTGAGAAGTACAACAAAAACGTCATATCTGGCATTTTCAAGCAGTTCTTTGTTTATTTAATAAGTGAGTAACGAATTTAAGAGTACGAACAACACGCCCGTAAATGCCCTAGTACGACCAAGAGTGGAGAGAGTCAGCTCTCCCTCTCCAAATGCTCTCACATGACCACGTGCATACAACGACCGACAGGGAAGTCCTACTTAGTGCCTTCTCGCATCACGGGTGCTTTTTACGAAATTGAGAGGACGAAAAGCAAATGTTCGGCGCTTTAGCCAGGTTGGTGGATACGGTGAATCCATCTAGAGGAGTTAGAAAACCCTGATCCTAAACCAGTGGTTTGCATGGGCTATAGGATCCTAAGGGAACAAATGAAGTATGAACCTATTGTTGGTTACTGACTACCATGGGACTGCATCTCCTAACGCTTCTTCACTGACTTATGGAGTAGGCCTCTAAGTCAAAGTCTCGGGGTGTTGACCCCCCAAGTAAACCACTTGCTTCGATATGGGGCACCTGAGCAATATCAAAGCCCTCACACAAATCGAAAACAAATAGATAAATACTGTTGTAATTTGTATTTTCTGGCTTGACTAACTCTTCATTCTATTTTGAATATCTATCTTAACTTGATTCATTACATAATGTATCTAGTATAGGGGTTGTGGAGATTATTAAGTTTTTCATTGAGATCATGAACCGATTGATGTTAGACCACCTTTTGCAAACCTGTAAGCACTGGACTGCCGTTTCATCCTATTGTGGGACTCCTCAGCAGTGCGCATCCAGGATCCCACTCGCGAGATCCGAACTCAGGGCCTTCAGTCTCGTGCACGAACGCTTAACCTACTGGACCACTGAGCCGGCATCCAATGGTGATAGTGTCTAACCTCAACCAATCCACGAAATTGCGCGACCAACTTCCGTTGTACTGAGGTAGATACCTGTCTCTACCCGACATGGATTAGCTCCACTTCTGAGAAGTCCCACAATAAGACGAAACGGCCGTCCAGTGCTTCTGGGTTTCCAAAAGGTGGTCTAACATCAATCGGTTCATGATCTCAATCCAAAAACATGATATATCTGTCAAATCATTACTTCTAATCAGTATAACCATTCACAACAGTAGACAAGTTTTGTAAACAATATATGATGGGAAGCCATGAACAGTATACACTGATAACTTGATTTTATTCAACAAATTATTTTCATTCACTAGTCTCTACTTATTTTTGTTCAAATTTGAAAGACATAAGTATGATGGTATCGTTGTTCGTTTGTGTGTGTGTGTGTGAATGTGAAGCAGGGGAATAATAGAATTTTCAAAATGGACTTAAAGCAAGAAAAAAAAGAAAAACCAATTAAAGAAATTACCTGAAAGTAGGACAGGATCTTTTGTTTCACTTTTTCTTACTTGATCCGATTCACCAGTTAAAGAGCTTTCATCAATTTTTAAATCATTACATTGTATCACTATACCATCAGCTGGTAGGAGATCACCTAGTAAGGAATTTTTTTTGGGGGGGGTATTGAAAAAGAAAATTAGAAAAATAATATCACGTAACTATTCGTAATAAGAAATAATGGTATTTCATTGAATAAGATAGATAAAAGTGTAACCGCTTCTCTACGGTAACTCATACCTTGATATGTAATGATCAAGCAAAGATACCGATCGAAATGGATTGGTTAAAATATTTGCTTTATTTAGGTCCTATAATAAAAGATATTTGAGTTGGTGTGGTAAAACTAGAGGCAAAAAACTCATGGTCCGTACTGATGATGTTATTAAGGTGTAGGAACTGTAAGATGTTTCCTACAAACACCAATATTGTATTTACACAACAAAAGCAGGTGGTGAGAAAAGGTTGACCCTAGAATAGGTACACTTCATCTTGGTCGACAGATTCCTGTTGCCTGAAGTAAGGACTAAAAAGTATGATGCTGACACAATGAAAACTTCTTTTAGGAGGGTCGTATGCGATCGGTTTCAAGCATATTTATGCACGTAAGTACCTTAGTTCACATATATGGGTATATATATAGGGGCCAAATTAGCACTTTTCTTGTTCGTTTATACAATTGCTCTCGATAATCTTATAGAAAGCCAACTGATCTTTAGCTATGGTTGTGTGCACTTCACTATATATACAAGGTGAGGTGATGGATTGAATTAACGAATCAGTTCAGTTCGATTACCATAAGACAACTACCGATACAGAAATGTAAATATGACGATATTTACGACTCACACTTACGTACAGGTACGGTAAAACAGAGAACGTACGAAGGGGGGAGATATATATATTCTATGCACAATAAGACAATAAATAGAACAACACATATTCTGCAAATATACAAATACAATTATCAACCTGTAAGTGGTCAATAAGACTTTCTTAACAAAGTGGAATACTGATTGAAATAACTATAGACTAGAAAATTTTATTCTGCATTATTTCATCAAACATATATATATATATATATATATATATATATATATATATATATAGGGTTAAGCGTTCGCGAGCGAGACGGAAGGTCCTGGGTCCGAATCCCGCGTGCAAGTTGGTGGATATGTACTGTTCAAGAGTCCCGTTCTAGGATGGAACGGTTGTTCAATGCTTTCACGTCTTTAATGGAGGCCTAGCTTAGCTTGACCCATGATTTCAACAGTGAATATATTTATACATTAGTTTAATATACAAACCAAAAATTAATGATTCTTTAATATCGAAATGTAAGACGCCATAAGAGCCAATGATGTATGCATACTTTTTGTATATTGCACACACATAGGCACGAGAATATAATTATTAGGTAGAGAAAGAGAGAGTATGTGGGGAATGGGGTCTAAAAAATAGTAATAATAATAAATACCCATTCTTATCCTTTTTGTATATAGTAGGGCAAATGGGAAAAAAAAGAGAATTTTATAAATTCACTCGCACATATATATGAAACTATTCAAACTATGCAAACTACTTAATGATTGATTAACGTATTTTACATCAAGATTAAGCAAGTAATCAGTAAACTAGGTATTTATGAATAATATTAAAGACATATTGTTTGGTTACTAAGTTAAACTGTTTAGCTACAATGTGTGGGATTATTTTTTTATGACAAAAGGAAACCATAGCTAAATCGAACAATGAACAAGAAGAAGAAGAAGAAGAAGAAGAATATTCCTCGAATCTGTAATTCACTGATTGTAAATCGAGTATTTTAACGACAAAAGCAATCTGAAATCTAGATTCTATCTCACTATTGTTAATTATAATGAATTGACATAGAATTCCCATTTCAAAGAAGGGATCTCTTCTCAATGACTTTAGTCCTAAGCTAATACTTTAACCGTACCACTAAATTCCGTATCCTAATTCTAACCAAACACTAAACGCTACATTGGAACCTTAATTTAAACTGAAACTCTATATAATAATTGCTTTGTTTTTAGAAACGTTATAATTTTTCATAATGTAATCCAGCTGCCAACCGTCCCTCCGTTACTTCACACATTTCATCATCCGTAGATGACATGTTCATTTGATTCGTGCACAGTGACTTTGAAACGATTCAATCATTCACCATTGGCTTGTTCTTATGGTACAGATTACATTTTTAAAGTGTTTTTATATCCCGTTCTAATTGTAAACCTTCATTCAATTCATTAACTGTATTCACATTATTTTACTCTTAAGAAATTACAATTAATAAGTTAAGTACGTATTGTTCATTTTCTACTACACATGATTTAATTATGCGCAGATGTTGATTTGTCCTTTATGGTGACTTTTGGTTGTGTGATTGATGTACATTATTAACATTAAATCATCTGAGTATTGAAGTCGCAAGAATAGACGGCAAATCAACTTCCTGTTCTCCTTTTCTGACTCGACATCAGGTACAGAAGAATCCATGTGAATCAATAAGTGTTAGAATAGCCAATAGTAGTTAGTGTTCATAGTTTTTATTGGTTAGGCGAAGGTTATTAGCATTATTGGTTCAAGGAGAACTCCTCATCAGTGGACTCGATAATTCAGCGATCCCATTACATAGGAATATAGAAGTTGAATTAACAATATAAGTCACTTCGAATTCTCTTTGTTGAATTTCGATCAATTTTCTCATTTATTAGTTGTCTATTGATCAAATTTACTAAAGTAGAAAGAGGTTTTAAACCATAGTTAGTTTTAGAAACGTTTTTGCCAGGTATCATTTTAAAGGTATTACATTTATTGAACTGACTGGTTTAACTAGGGGAACTTCAATTATTAATTGCTGGACAACATCATCAACTTTTTACTTCGTAATGTAGAAGTAGACCGGTTTATTTGAAATTCTGTTTGTGATTGGTCAATGGGGTATATGGGTCATGCCAGGTCATGCAAAACTGATTCAAAAAAGCGTGAAAATATTGTATTTGATTATAATATTACCTTTATCGGTAATAAACCTATGATTAGGTAAACTATAAAATCTCATGTTCAGTTAGTTTCGATCATTTAAATTGACCTAACCAATTAATTCACTGGAATAATTCATAAATCATGTACACATACATATATACAAGTAGACTCGATGATAAACCACAGCTCATTGTGCTGTTTGCTAGTTTATTATGAGTAAATTTGTTTGTTTTTCCTATCAACGAAATAGTCGTAGCGGGAATTTCAACATTTGACCTTAATTAAACAAGAATAGTTAAGTCGCAGCTATTGCAAAAAAATATGTAGATTGAATAGACAATGTGCACATAAGGCACCGCCCTAGATTATTTCAAGTATTGAGCAACTATTAAACATAAATTTCTTACATTATATGATTTAAGTGTAAGGTTGTACATACTACTAAATGCATATGAATAACAGTAAACAGTGTGACATGTACAATCATAATGCTTGACGAAAATAAACTTGGATCATTTGAATAACAACACTGATCGACTACTGAGCAGAAGTAGCAGTAGTAGTAGTGTTGTGAATGAAGAAATGCAAAATCACATAATGCCTTCGCAAATTATGTAAATCATACTTTGAATACATCATTTGCACATTTTCCTTCGGTTGTCCTTTAGATACCCCATCATTCTTCCAATTCTGTTATCATCCCGACTCTTTTTTTGTTTTCCTTCCTCTTTTCTTTATTTCAATCTTATGCTGGTAAGCATTCCACATCCAATTCCTACTACAAAATACTTACATCTGTCCGTAAAAGTAGTGTACACCACAGTAGTAGTAGTGTAGTGAACAGAACACGGGTGGATACAATCGAATGTATTTAACACAAAATTATAGGACTTGTTAATAAAATCTAACAATCAAATAGTAAATACGTAATTTGCAAAATGTCCATCAAATGTCTCAAAATGACTCAGACTTCATTGTTCTTGCATTTTCATACAAATTACATTCTGCTTCCATTCTTTACTGTTCGATCCCCTTGTTTCTCTGCTGCTAGACCTTCTGTTTACGACTAACATCATATACTACTTATGTCAGTCAGTAGCATTAACCAATATCACAATGTTTAGTTATTAGTGCTAGGCGGATTTTATAGACAGAATTATAATAAATGACCACTAGTCTAAAAGAATCAGTAGCATAGTGAACTGTGACTCATGTTAATTAAGCACTCATCCTGTGTTTACTTTCGCGTCACAGGCAACCAAACAAATATGTCTAGTATATATCTTGGTTACTAATACTCATTGAGCTGATAACAATCTGTGACCAATAGCTTTTCTCGTCAAATGTGATTAAGTTGGAAGGAATACTGATTCATTTACCATTTACTTTACAATGAATCTCTTTGATCTTCCAATTGATACATTGAATCTAAATAAGCTGATTTGTCTGTCGCTTATTAACCTCTCTCTTTACATAAATATTTGGCTATGAGCTATACTTCTTGCATATGAAGATTACTAGTGATAACAATTTTGAGTAAATGGAAAAGAAAATTGAACATAACTGCTTAAATCACTGTCATTCATATCCTTTGCTCTATTTCCAATTCATAATGTTCTTTGTTTAATGGTACATGAAAAGCTTGATATTGACATCAAGAGCCGATTTACATTAGACAGTCATCAAAAACCTGAGAGCACTAACGATCGATTCATCTTAGTACGAAGCTCCTCAGTAGCCAGTGTCCAGATGGTAATTGTCGATTCCCAGTTATGGGACTGTGGATCCGTACTGCTAAGACCTATGCTAGGATGAAACGGCTGTCCTGTGCTCCTAAGTTGATTGTCGTCTAATTTGGAACAGTTCGTAACTTCAACAAAATTCAATAATCTCCACAACCACATACTGAAAAATATCGTAATCTGCTAAACAATCAACTTACCATATTTCACTTGACATACATCACCAACAACAATTTCTTTTACAGGAATTTGTTTAGTGTCACCTTTACGTATAACAAAAAATGTATGCTCTGATTCAATTTTATTTTGTAAACCACGAAATTGTCGTTCTTTTTGCCAATCATTCAATGCCACAACAAATACAACAACAAATACAGCAATTAGAATGGCTAAACCTTCAATCCAACCAGCTTGTCCTTCCGATTCATCAAATGTTGGTGCTTGTCCATCTAAAGAGATCAACGAGACAAAAAAAAAGAAAATTGATAGAGATTAGAAATAATGACAAGTGTTGAAAAAAAGGACTTATTATATCAGGATTAGACTCCAAAATCGAGTAATCATGGAGCGGTTAGTCAGAGTGACTAAATCACTCGGCTTTCACCCAGTAAGTTATATATTTAGGCCCCAGTCCACTAACCTCTCTTTGGTCAGTCAGATACTCTTAATAAGCATGACTACCAATAATATTATTATCATTGTCATTATCAGAACGAGATTAGAACTGAAAAAAGACTTTCTCACTCCATAATATAAGCATTAAAAAGTACGGTAAGCCAACTTAATGATGTTTATGATGAGATTGAAGACGACTATATATTTAACAATTAGTAACGAAACTGCTATCAACAAAATTAAATTGCCTATTATTTATATCTAAAATAACAAACTGATATTACCTAGACCATCATTAAAAGCTAGCAAGGACTGGACTATTGTCTCGTCTTAGTATGGAAATGTGCATTCACGAAACGACCACGGGGGATCGATGCTACAATATTTGATCTCGCGCGCAAACACTTAACCTCTAGATAATTGAACTGGCATTTGTTGCGGTACATACTTAACTTCAATCAATTTCCAACGTTGCACGACTATCTTTCATTGCCTGAAGTGGATAATTGTCTCATACCCGACATAGCCGAACTCCGTTGATCAGAGCTTCTCAGTAGAACTCCAAAAGTTCCATCGTAAAGCTACTCAGTAGTGAGTGCAGGATCATTATTAGTACATAAGGTGTAGAAACAACTAACTGTCAAGTGCTTCTTAGATTTCAATGGTTGTCTAGTTAAGATCAGTTTATGATTTAGGAACTATGAAAATTCTACAGTCTTTAAAAAACGCTATTCACATCATTATTGTCAGTATTACGTAATAAAATTGACATGCCAAAAACAAATACACAAACACAATGCTTAGTTTCATAATTTTACACTCATACTTTATCTCATATGGATTATAGTTCTTTTTATTATTGTGCTCATTGTAACGTCGGATGACTTCTTCCACTGAAGAAAAATATCCTTACATTCTTCTTAAACTACTAGAAAACATTTAATATATGACCAATTTTGACACAAACACTAAGGAGGCACCAAATACATATGCGCCACACAAATCTCATTTGATATGCGCGTGGTCATGTGAGAGCATTTGGAGAGGGAGAGCAGACTCTCCCCACTCTCGGCCGTACAAAGGCATTTGGGGGCTGACACAAACACTATCTTTAGGTCTAGGTAGAGAAACTTTCTAAAAAGTGGGTGGTTGATGCGAGCCTAATCAACTATATAGTTAAACATGTGATAAAATTTGTAGTTTCGATTCGTCACATACTGATTTCATTTGGATCACCACCGAAAACTAAAGGGCATTTGATAGCTGTCTAATTTTAGTGTAGGTCTTTTCAGCAATATGAATCCATAAGACCATTAGGGGTCGAATTCAAAACAGACAGGTTCCTTATTATCCTAAATGAAATCAATCTGTAGCGAATACTACCTGAAAATCAAGGCATTCTCTACAAAAACGTTTCAAATATATAAAACAGAAATCGTCATTGATTACGAACGGGGGGATGAATAAAGTGTTTGACACCAAATGGTTAGAAGCGACTAGGAACAAGGTTCGTGTTAGATTTAAGCTTCCTGATTAGATAACCCACACAATCAGTGAAAATGTATCAATAATATTAACAGGAACTATTGCACCCTTCTTATTATATTCAAAAACTAGGGTTACATCGTATCACAACCACAGATACTTTAGAAATAAACTCTCCAGAGGTATAATCGAAATATTGACATACTCATTTAACATTCATCAATATCATGCTGTTTACGTTCTATTATTATGACTATTAATATTGACAGATCAGTAATAAACATGAAAAAAGTATATATATCTGAGAGTACATGTTTACTAAATACAATAATATCACAGCGGTAGTTACATTATAACAAGAGTACTGCATGATACCTTCGCTAATCACCAAGGTTAAATAAGTTTTATTGAAAAAAATATCAATAAATAAGGTACTCTAAGAACTATCTCTAAAACTAATGATGATAATAATTAGGTATTGTCTTAACTCTTATAAGAACTAATTCTTTCACTCATTATAAAACCTTAGAATCATAGACGATGAAGTAAATTACATGAGTTTGATTCATAATCCAGGTGGTTGTATATAAACAGCATTAAAAAATAAAAAGATGATAACGAATAAAATTTCAGTCAGTCTTGATTGTTGCTAGAGGTATAAGGGCGGTTATCACTTCCCTATTGCCCACACCATGGAAGGGTTCGTCTAGATGCAACTGAAAAGGAAATTGGATTAGAAGTGGTCTTAGTAACCTGAGAGTGTGACCACAGTGCCCAAGGGACAACTGCTTGAGGTCGATCATATACGACCTTTTGATGAATAATTTTTTTTGTTAGCTCCGTACTTGTTCAGACCGTACCACCGGAAATGGATATCCGTGGGATGAGGTGAGGTGTGCATTTCTAGGGTCGACCTTTTCTAACCTCACCACTCTTTGTGGGAAAGCAGCATCGCTGTCATGCTGGTTCTCTGAAGGAAACACCTTACTGCTGTCACACCTCTGTACAGTCAGCAGTCCGACTTCGCCTTCGGACCTTGAGTTTGTTGCTTTTAGTCTTACCGCTCTTCAACCGACCTTTCTGACGTGGTAGGACCTTGAGGAACGGTTGTTCTAGCCAATATAGCTCGGTTGCTTCATCACGATAGGCAAGCTCGACCACCACGTCAAGGTAGCAACAACGGTCGGGCATAAAATTTATAAAAAAAATTTGATAATTTCACAACTAAGATAGTGTATTGATTTATTAAGAAAAGACCAAGGAACACAAATAACTGACTATTATGATAGATGATGATTCGAAATAATTATAGTAAGAATGATAGAATTAAGAATATGATTCGAAACGATGAAATTAGAAAAGTGTGAATAGAAGAATACTGAAAGATAAGATCTAGTGGAATATATAATGTGTCATTGTAACTGATTCTAAGCCATTTCATATAATATGTTAAACAACTGGTAATGATAGTTGTACATATTTACAAGAAGATAGATTCGACCTAACAAGATGACTTATACTAACAGTCGATAACTTCATGAATTCATGTCATATCTTGATTTGATGCAACTTACTTTTAATCCAGCCAAAATTGCATATCATGGATGAATTGATACTTAACACATGTTTCAATCAACTGAAACAAAAAGCAAATTTACAATGGAAATTACCACAACTGATTGATCACTGAGTGGTGATCAATGTCATGTGTCAAGTCCTTCTTAGTGCAGGTCGAATTCTATCGACCAAGTTGCAATGTGGCCACTAGTCTAAGTTGAGACTACATGGTGGTTGGAGGTAGTCAATAGGATACCCTGTTAACCCGGGTTTCGTGCTACTTGGCACTCATCACCAAGGTGTACCTGTAAACATGAGGGAACTGACGCCCCCCCCCTGATTGATTCGACCCCGTGTCACCTAGCTTCATAGTCAGAGATATAACCACTGGGCTATCCGGGCCGCGACAGACCTCCTGTAGGACTGAGATGTAATCACAATTGATTGATCACTGGGTGGTGATCAATATCATGTGTGTCAAGTCATTTTCAGTGCAGATCGAATGTTATTGACATGAAATCGAATCCGTCAGGGAGCACCAGTTCCCCAAGATTACAGGTATATCTTGCTGACGAGTGCCAAGTAGCACGAAATCCAGATTCAGGGTTTCCTGTTGACTACTTCCAACCACCATCTGATGGAAATTACATTAAGAATTTTAATGCTTTTCAAATATTCAATCTGAAGAGTAGTCATGCCAAGTTTCTGATTTGTTTATGTTCTCTGCATATACACAGTATGAAGCCAATGAAGGTATAACTATTATTATAATTATTAAGCATTTAGATTACAGGATTTCAATTCAAATAATTTATGGTTTAAATGATTGACCAATAAGTCGAGAATTAAAACCCACCCTTCAAATGGTTTAGTTCAAACAGTATAGTAATATACCTAGACCTCTTGTAAACAAACAATCTAACTTAGGACTGAATAAATATAAATTTGGACTTTAATAAATTGAATTATACATTAGATAAACTAAAAGTATTGTATTCGCTAAACAGTTCTAAGATCATAAGTTCAGTCTATTATGTTTCGTCGTGCGTATGTACTACTGTGGTGGGAGTTACTTGTATACATATAAGTTATATATAACGGTGGTCAGGCATTGAATGTATTTCAGAAGAGGATCGATAAGGAAAGAATGGGAACGGAATGCAATTGGTATGAAAATACATGAACAATGAAGTCTGAGACAATAGATTGTTATTTACAAAAGGAACAGTCAAGTTTAAAACGATGGATTGATATTTTGCTAATTAACTGTTTACTATATAGTTCTGAGATTTTAGTAAAATGCTCAATAATTTCATGTCAAATACATTTGTTTTTCCCCATTCATGTTTAATCCTGAGATGATGGAGAAGATTGGTAGCTCAAGTGAATGATTTTGATGAAGTTTTCTTCTCTGAGCTAGATGGTTTGATCGTGAAGCTTTCATCGTTCTTCTGAACGACATCATCATCAGCAGCACAAACTTCAGATGAAAATTTCTATCTGAGAGAGAACAAAACTCCATCAAAATGTTTAATCCAGCCAATCAGTGTTACATACAAAAATACTTTAGAAATTACCGAAAATTATTATTATTATTACTACTAATTTATTAGTTTACGCATCAATACTCTTTATCCTTTTACAATGTTACTATTGTTATTTCACAATGGACTAAGTACAACTAACTGATGCATAACAATGACCCGAGAGAAAAAAAACAACTTTGTAACTATTTACTATAATAAAGTTTCAGGTTGGTAGATATAAATTCTATAAATTAGTTAATCAACCA